ATGGGCATGTAGCTACTTCCATGTTTCAGATGATACGTCATGTTTGTAGTCGACCAATGAAGATGAGTTTACATATCACCTTGGGTTTGTCCTTCACCTTCTCAAAATGATCCCACACTTTAGATTTCCTGCCCGACATGTTATTAACTAGCCTGTGGAATAACCGCAGGTACCAGCCCTGGAAATTAACCTGACTCCTGTCTGACTGCTGAGCGTGGCCACTTCCTGTGTCTGTCCTTTCAAATTAAATCCCCACATGGTCCGGCCATATAGGTTTTGATTTATTTTGACAAGGCGCAGCTCCTGATAGAGTTTCATGGGGGTTTTTTTTGTTTGTGTGTGTGTTTTTTCTGCGACTAAGCGACCAATAATATCTGGTCGACTAATGTTTGGTCAGCTATCAGGGGGCAGTCCTACTGCTTACTAGTTGTTGTTTTTTTGTGATTTCAGAAAGTTGCTGCAGTAAATGACACTGCCATTATGTTTAATAAAATTCCATACAGGCATATATCGATAGTGTAAATATAAGCAACATCTCCCAAAGAAATACTCTAGTGCCGTATTATAAGAATTTAAACAAGATGAGAAAATATATCATGTTGCATCTAGCACACTGTGTTAGTTACAAATATATATATATATATACAGTACAGGCCAAAAGTTTGGACACACCTTCTCATTCAATGCGTTTTCTTTATTTTCATGATTATTTACATTGTAGATTCTCACTGAAGGCATCAAAACTATGAATGAACACATGTGGAGTTATGTACTTAACAAAAAAAGGTGAAATAACTGAAAACATGTTTTATATTCTAGTTTCTTCAAAATAGCCACCCTTTGCTCTGATTACTGCTTTGCACACTCTTGGCATTCTCTCCATGAGCTTCAAGAGGTAGTCACCTGAAATGGTTTCCACTTCACAGGTGTGCCTTATCAGGGTTAATTAGGGGAATTTCTTGCTTTATCAGTGGGGTTGGGACCATCAGTTGTGTTGTGCAGAAGTCAGGTTAATACACAGCTGACAGCCCTATTGGACAACTGTTAAAATTCATATTATGGCAAGAACCAATCAGCTAACTAAAGAAAAACGAGTGGCCATCATTACTTTAAGAAATGAAGGTCAGTCAGTCCGGAAAATTGCAAAAACTTTAAATGTGTCCCCAAGTGGAGTCGCAAAAACCATCAAGCGCTACAACGAAACTGGCACACATGAGGACCGACCCAGGAAAGGAAGACCAAGAGTCACCTCTGCTTCTGAGGATAAGTTCATCCGAGTCACCAGCCTCAGAAATCGCAAGTTAACAGCAGCTCAGATCAGAGACCAGATGAATGCCACACAGAGTTCTAGCAGCAGACCCATCTCTAGAACAACTGTTAAGAGGAGACTGCGCCAATCAGGCCTTCATGGTCAAATAGCTGCTAGGAAACCACTGCTAAGGAGAGGCAACAAGTAGAAGAGATTCGTTTGGGCCAAGAAACACAAGGAATGGACATTAGACCAGTGGAAATCTGTGCTTTGGTCTGATGAGTCCAAATTTGAGATCTTTGGTTCCAACCGCCGTGTCTTTGTGAGACGCAGAAAAGGTGAACGGATGGATTCCACATGCCTGGTTCCCACTGTGAAGCATGGAGGAGGAGGTGTGATGGTGTGGGGGTGTTTTGCTGGTGACACTGTTGGGGATTTATTCAAAATTGAAGGCACACTGAACCAGCATGGCTACCACAGCATCCTGCAGCGTCATGCCATCCCATCCGGTTTGCGTTTAGTTGGACGATCATTTATTTTTCAACAGGACAATGACCCCAAACACACCTCCAGGCTGTGTAAGGGCTATTTGACCAAGAAGGAGAGTGATGGAGTGCTGCGGCAGATGACCTGGCCTCCACAGTCACAGGACCTGAACCCAATCGAGATTGTTTGGGGTGAGCTGGACCGCAGAGTGAAGGCAAAGGGGCCAACAAGTGCTAAACACCTCTGGGAACTCCTTCAAGACTGTTGGAAAACCATTTCAGGTGACTACCTCTTGAAGCTCATGGAGAGAATGCCAAGTGTGTGCAAAGCAGTAATCATAGCAAAGGGTGGCTATTTTGAAGAAACTAGAATATAAAACATGTTTTCAGTTATTTCACCTTTTTTTGTTAAGTACATAACTCCACATGTGTTCATTCATAGTTTTGATGCCTTCAGTGAGAATCTACAATGTAAATAGTCATGAAAATAAAGAAAACGCATTGAATGAGAAGGTGTGTCCAAACTTTTGGCCTGTACTGTATATACACATATATATATTTTCCACATTTTTCAAAACACGTTGGAGTAAGTTAAAAAAGTAGTAGAGATGAGAGAGGTGATATTTTTTTGCAGTAAAGGATGATGAGATGCACTTCTCAATTTATGTAAAAGCCTGTGATGAAAATGGGTCACACACACACACAAACAGACACACACATTTACCACTTAAATATCATATCTCCAAAATGCACTGTACAGCCACGCTGCCCTTTAATCAGGTTAAAACACTGACAATCACCTGTCCTCCAAAAATACGTCACATTTCTTTAACCGTGAACTCTCTTGTCCAGATTCCATGCCGCCCTCCAACAATATGACCAACCAGGCTGCACCCTATGGGAGCTATGGTTACCCCAGCATGCAGCCAGGGTATCGGCAGGGACTGGCCTCCCACACTGACTCTTCGCCCTCTCATGACCCGTACGGCCAGTCAGGCTACCAGCAGTACTCCCAGGTGAGGCCACAGCTTTAATAAAGAGAAGTGTTTTTTGTTACCTCCACCAAGGAGGTCATGTTTTCGCCGGCGTTTGTCTATTTGTCTGCAAAATAACTCTAAAAGTTGTGAACGGATTTTGATGAAATGTTCAGGAAAGGTTGATAATGGGACAAGGAACAGATGATATAATTTTGGTGGTGATCGGTTGAAGCGAAGTGGATAAAATAATAAAATGACTCGAAATCCGAGCTGCTTGGCGGAGGTCTGCGCTCTCCGAGTGCTCTAGTTGTTTTTGTTATTGTTGATGCCTTTATTTATAACTTGCAAATGAAAAGTGTTTTTACCAGCCTGGTTTAAGATATCTGAATTTTGAATCACTCCTAAATTTTCAAATCTGCGATCTCCAGAGCTATGACTCTCCAGGTATTATGTTTTTGGCTATGGTCTTTATAAAGACTGGATTGTGGGTCATCTAGCTCGTAATATTTCTGGACCTCGAAACTTGTCTCACACATGAGACAGCAACAGAGTTCTCTTTATACTTCCACAGTAAGGAGAGGAGTCGAGCTGCCATAGGAGCAGAGAAAAGGAGCTAAGTGAGTGGGCGAAAAATGCAGTTAATTCCGGGGGGGCGGCGAAGCTGGAAATAGGACAGTGGTTGTTTGTTTTCAGCTGTTTTCAATAAGAAAGCGTTGATGAATCCACTGTAGACTACCTGCTCAGCGCCTCACAGCAAACAGACACAGTTAGAGACTAGCTGGAGAACATCGTGGAGCATTTAGCAACAAGAGCCATATATGTTTGTCGGTGGTCATACTGATGACAGCTCTGATTTATCACAGGATTAAAAAGTAGTTATGTCTCTCTCCCTCCTCTGCAGCCATTCCCAAGTCTGTCCCAGCTGTCTGCAGCCCTGGGTGGGCTGAGCGGGGTGCCGGAGCTGGAGGTGGAGGCCTTGAGGCCGGTCAACCTGCTGCAGGAGAGGAGCCTGCTGCCCCCCAGGCCGCTTGAAGCCCCCGAACCCAACCTCAGCCCCGACCTGAAGAAAGTCAACTGTAGTCCACAGTAAGTAACGTGAAGGAGGGTTTAACTACAGACACACACTATTTTAGCTCATATTTCAATCCTCTGTTATTTGAAAGAAGTCTTTTGACTTACGTCTTTTTCACATCCTCTACTTCTTTGAATCTCTTCACTGTGTCATTGTCTAAACTGTTGATGTGTTACTCAATGCACCTCCTCTCTCCTTGTGTTTCTCTGCTGATCAGGACATTCAGGTGTACCCTGTCCAGCATCCCACAGACCCAGGCTCTTCTCAACAAGGCCAGGCTCCCTCTGGGCCTCCTCCTCCACCCCTTCAGAGACTTACAGGTACGATCTGATGTCTAAACCCTCACAAAACTCAACACACACAGGAAGATACAAGGGATGGGCGATGATTTTCGAATACTCGATTAGTTATTAACTTGAAAAAAATCAAATAGTTCATGTGACTGTGGTTTTGTCCATTGTTTTTTCTGGTTTTACCAGCACTTTGAAATCACGCGATAACACCAAATATCACGTTATTACATGCCTCTTGTATTTAGGCTACAGTAAACGCCTGTAGCACGGTGTTTTCCACACAAGGTCAGTATAGCATTTCCTACAGCATATTTAGGGACGGGGGGCATCTTTGAGTAATTGTTGAATAGTTCACAGTGAATTTCGAATAGCACTTTTGTTGGAAAAGTCCCATCCAAGGTTTTTCTGTACATTCTGCTCTTGTTGATTTGTTGAATAGTTTAATCAGCTCCTGTCTTATGGATAAAAGCTTCAGATGTTTAAGGTGGTTTGGTTGGATGTTATGTTTTTCTCCTGAGGTAGATTCAGTAGGTATTCTGTTGGCTGGTATGTTACCCAGCTAGAGGTAGTGCTATGCTAACCAAGCTGCATAGGATGCCACAAAGAGAGGCAGATCAAAGTGGCTTTTTGGTACACATTTCCTGATAGATGGAGCAGGAGAAAAAGATAGAGGATGGTCTTTTATCATATTTTCAGGGTCTCTGGACACATGGGACACATATTTGCGTTGAAAAGGCATGAAAGAGTGAATAATATGTGACCTTTAAGGTGTGGCTAATGGGGTTTTTGATGGCCAGTGGCAAAGATTTTGAGCTGAAGTTGCCAAATATTGTCTGATTGAGGGGAAAAAATCTTTAAAACAACATTTATTCTATCAAGTGAAACCTCAGGGCTTTTTTATTGCTGTTGTCATCCATTCTTCATCACACATGAGACAGCAACAGCTACAGAGTTCTCCTTATACATCAATGGTGAGAAGAGGAGTCGAGCTGCCGTAGGAGCAGAGAAAAAGAGCTGCTGTGGGAGCTGGTATGAACAAGCAGAGAGCGAGTGGGGGAAAAATGCATCTAATTCCAGGGGCTACAAGGCTGGAAATAGGACAGTGGTGTGAAGTGCCACAGGGCGGCGAGTTCCAGAGGGCCGACATGTTTCTAGCCACCGCTGGTGTGGAGTTGTTCTTTGAAAGTAATAGGGCCGTATTTTTTGACGTGCGCCATTTGCCACTGGTGTGTTTTGGCCATTAGTTTGGAGTAGTAAAGATTTTGAGGCAAATATTGTCTGATTGAGGGGAAAAATCTTTAACAACAACATTTATTTTATCATGTGAAAGCTTGGGGTTTTATTACTGCTGTTGCTGCTTTAAAGTGAAGAATTTGTCAAGTTTTGTCCCGTTGTTTTGGGCGATAGTAGTGTGATAGCACTGCCCCAACACACTTTAACAAAAGACACTCACTGCAGGCTGCTGTCCTCTTTACTTGTCCTCCTTGTTCTACTTTTACTAAACAAACCATTGTGATTTATTTAGTGAAAGAACAAACACATCCCAACTTGTGCAGCGAAGGATTCTTCCCAGAGAGAGGGATCCCTGCACAGCAGTAAATAAAGATTCTGATACGATTTATGTCGGTTTATCGAGTACTATTTCACTAACTGAAGACTGAAGGAAGAGTACATCACTTATATCATGTAAGACTGGTCCACTCGTAACAAACTAAACAAGTTATGAGTCTGCTCTTTGTGAGGAGCAGCTGCAGTGACAGCAGGACGGGCAGCAGGAGGAGAATGATGATGAGGTGCAGGACGATAGATGAGTTTATTTATAGAGGTGTTAGGCAGCTGATGTGGTGTCATAAGTTATGAAGTGACGGAAAACAGAGATGCCCTGATACCACGTGACAAACGAGTAGGAAGTTGTGGCTGAAAAACTTTGTTTACTCAAGCAGTAGCAATGATGGGAAAAGTTTTGAGAGGCTCGAGAAGTTCATTTACAGGGGACTCTCTGAATAAAATATGATTTTACCTCGATGTATATTCATGTAGTTAAACAGATTCAAAACAATGAAACTACCAAACTGTGCATCCACAGTCTCCTATGGACTAATGGATGTTTTGGTGGCTCAGGCTCAGCTGCTCAGTAGCTACGTCTTCCTTAGTGGACGACTGTAACGCCGCAGGTTTCACACTCACTTCGCACTACACCACTCGCCAATTTCACACCACACAACTCTGTGCTTTGTGATAATTTGTGTTTGAATTATAAAACAGACATTCGTTCTCTACAGTCCCACCGTTCACCTCTAAATCCTGCCCTCACCGATTATTTATTAAAAACAAAAACAGCTATGAATATGCTTTGCTTTAGCTCCACAACAAATGTGCTTTGTTTACAACCAATTCATAATCTGTGCCGGACAACCTCACTGTCAGGTTTGTTTTTTCTCAGAGAATAAATAGTTTATGTAACATTACACAGTGCAGCTGTCTGGCGTACTAAAAAATTGTACATTTTCAAAGCCAAGTCAAGGAAAAAATAAATACGGATGCTCCTTCACCGTTTTATCTTAAGAAACTCAGGTCTCAGACGTTTGACTAGTTGCAACCAGAGGTTACACTAACCGAATTTTTCCCGTTTTCACATCCCTGTCCAGTTGGTGGTGTGTGCATATTTATTAGCTATTGTCCAGTCTTGTCTTTTGATTTTGATTTTGAGTGCACAACCTTGTTATCTAGCTGGCTGCGGCCATCTCACTGGTTGCTTTATCACTACATACTGTTGTAAAATGTCTCGAGTGTTGAAGTTTGTTTGCATGATCAGTGTCTTTGCTCATCTTTTCTCTCCATGTCCTCAATAGTCCTTAATAAGCTTGTTCTGTATATTAATTATTAAAAGAATAACAATTAAATACTATTAAATATGTAATATCATTAAAAAAAGTCAAATTAAAATGGCGGGTAATAGGAGGTTATGATGGAATTTTTATGAGCTTGTCCATCAAGATGACCAACAATCACAAGCTCTGATTGCACCCATTTTCAAAGTAACCTTTTTTAAATCATGTAACTCTCTATTGTCACATCTATCCAGTTATTTAGGGCATCATCTTCTAGTCAGAGCTTTTTCCCTGCTGCCAGCAATGTACCCATTAAATATTTGTCAATACCTTTTGCTTCTGGGGAGATAAGCCTAAATGTTGAGGCCCAGACAAACCAAACCGACATAAAAATACCTAGTGGCGACGGATGCCGACTGTTGCATCACCTTACATTGCCCGTGTCTCAGCCAAAGAGTTGCACTTGAACTAGTCTCTATAAACAGACTCTACATTCAGTGAATTTAGAGTCTGTAGGCAAACCCCTGAGATCTTGCCTCTGGAAGAAAAGCGGAAGAGCCCTGGTTTCCAGTTGTAGGCTGTTTGTAGTCCGTGTGATATTGACCAATCACGTTTGAGCCGNATATACAGACTCTACATTCAGTGAATGTAGAGTCTGTAGGCAAACCCCGGAGATCTTGCCTCCGGGAGAAGAGCAGAAGAGCCCTGGTTTCCGGTGCTAGGCTGTTTGTAGTCCGCGTGATATTGATCAATCACGTTTGAGCCGGCTGCAGTTGTTGCCAGGTTAAACGGTCCGTGCGGTGAACTAACGAGGTGGAACATAATTGGCATCACTGCAAACTCTGAATCCATCGCAATGGTTCAGCATATTTACTTATATATAAACGGAAGTCGGAAACAGAAATCCGCCTCCTCTGTCTGATCAAACCGGAATGCCAAAAAATCGGGGGTCTGCCACCAGAGGCTATATCGTCGTCTGCCGGAAGTCAGACGCCGAATACCGAATACATGGGTTCAGAGAATGCACTTGAACACACTACAAAGAACACAGCCAGCGGCCAACTAGCGCATACGCTCTGGGCCTGCTTGAGAGGAAATAACTCCACACCAGCAGACAGTGGTATTCTGTATTTATCATTCAAAAAGGAAAACAGAAAGACCGACAGGACGGATTCAAGATGCTAGTTAGCATGTTAGCTCATTAACAACACAACCTGATGTTGAAAGAACAAATTATATTTACTTTACGCCAGCAAACGGTGACATAGATTGTAAAGAACAGTTTCTGCCGAAGAGCTCAGTTTGTAAATAAAAAATCTTCCCTAATATAACAAGTTTGTTTTGATCTCATGCTGTCTTGGCTTCAGTCGTGTGTTTGCTGTCCTCACTTATGTTTCTCTTCACCGATGGACTCTGCTGGCACTGATGCCAATTTAACATGTTGATTTGGTGGAAAGGCTGTCAACAATGGCCAACTTGTGCCAGTGCTGTGGGGCACACTGTGAAGTGTAGGGCAACAGACACTCACTGGTGGCCTGGCCTGGTGTGTCATGGCCCTTATGGCTTTGAGATGGAAATATCACAATTTATCCAACACTGGGAATCACCATTATCATAGTGTGCCTTCATCAGAGGAGTGACAACAATGACTTCTATTATAAGGGAAAAAAGTATAAAAGTCTCAGGTGACCCTGGAACATCTGCAGACGTCCTTGAGAACACAGTCACAGAACAAAAGAGACAGAGAGAGAAAACAAAGCCCACAGTTCCACAGATTGATTCAACCACATTCCCCAAGAAGCAGAAACAAAGCTTCACTTCAGTCGTCTCTCGAGGCCCGAGCAGAGGAATGTTTTCAAAAAGGTCACGATTGAGACTAAACTTGAAAAGAAGCACAAAATGTAAAATGTTCAGCTCATAAGACACATTTGTACGTCCCCTCAGTATTTACTCTGTTTCCCCCCGCCCTGTCTTTTTTCCGTCTCCCTCTGCAGCAGTTACCGGTGATCACGTCGAACACGATAGTGCGCTGTCGCTCCTGTCGCACCTACATCAATCCCTTTGTCACCTTCCTGGACCAGCGCAGGTGGAAGTGCAACCTCTGTTATCGGGTCAATGATGGTATGAGTCCAGTCATGAGTCAGAAAATAATGTTATTGATTTCCTTTGCTGACATCTGTCCTATTTTCTGTATCCAGCCCTATAATTATTCCATTGTTCATTTGTGTCCCACATAGTTTTGCACATGTCACACTCACTCTCTGTCATCTTCTTGTTTAGTTCCAGATGAGTTTATGTACAACCCAGTCACCAGGTCGTATGGCGAGCCCCATAAGAGACCAGAGGTCCAAAACGCCACGGTGGAGTTCATCGCCTCCTCAGACTACATGGTGAGTTGTCTCTTCTTGTGTTGTACTCTATACTGTTACTAGAAAGAAGGGAATGATGTATGTAATTTACAATAATCCAGTTATCGCTATAAATGTACTGATTCTTTGTTAAAAACACACACCTACATGTAATAAAAAAACAGCACATAAACTACAATTTTATTGAGTATGAAAGCACATTAACTGTAAGTCTGACACTTCATGGTGATGAATCTCAAACCCAGGATCATTAGTCTGCACACTACATTAGTGCACCAAAGTAACCTGAACACAAATGACTCAGTACACCTCGTTGGCAGATGTCTGTGCTCTGCTGAGTGTTTTCTAGTTTTCTGTTTAGTCAAATTATTTCCTGATGATTTTGTTTTTTGCTGTGGCATTGTTTCAGTATCGACATATTTCAGCAGGTGTCACTTTGAAAGCACAATTTTGGTATCATGTCAACACTAGTGTCCACTGTCCCGAAACTTTCGGTTGTTCTTGTGGACTTTTGAATGTTCATGTAGTGTGAGTGTGTGTCCACTAGAGGGCAGTCTTGTCTTGGTGCAACACATCTGGAGGCAGGGCTGTTCCTACTGTGTGAACTTTAACATAAAAGAGAGGGATACTTAACTAGACTCAAAATTTTAGACCTGTAACATAATTTTCTGACTCTATCAGCTGTTTTAAGACTCTATCAAAGTCACTCCATCCCCACTAATCATGTGTGTTTGTTTCACCTCTTGTGTGCTCAGTTGCGGCCCCCTCAGCCAGCTGCCTACCTGTTTGTCCTCGATGTGTCTCACAATGCTGTGGAAGCAGGCTACCTGAAGTACTTCTGTGAATCACTTCTCGAGAACCTTGATAAGTGAGTGTTGTTGATAATGCAGTGCAATAAACGTATAAATCTGGCTGCCTTATGAGTTTATCAATGCTCTAAATCTAATCTAAATTATTAACCATAACAAACTTATTATCAGTATTTATTGATATAGTTTTTTGAAAATAAGCAGATGGTTACAAGCGGCTGTCACATCCAGTTCTCTGGAAACGTTTTTTGGGGGGGTTCCACCCAGAGTTGCAACGGTGTATGATTTTCACGCAACGATAACCATCTCAGAAAATTTCACAGCATCACAGGCTTAAACAATTATTATTATTATTATGAGGCCCAATGACCCTTAAAGGAATGAAACTGAAGGTTATTTTTGGTTGTAAAAATGATTTGTAAGTATAATAGAAACTTGAAAGTATTTCTTTAATGGACGCATGTGCAGAAAGTCTCCCTTTGGGAAATAACTAAAATAAATGTGAGATTCTCCATCCAGCTGCATTTTTTTTTTTTTTGCATTATCTTAGATAAGCAAATACACAGTATGATAACTGTCAACTTTCATATCATTGTATATCTTAAAATGCTGCTGCAACCCTATATCCACCTTAACCTGTTCTGACAAAGGGTTGTTTTGTGTTCCAGGTTGCCCGGGGATACACGCACCAGGGTGGGCTTCCTCACCTTTGACAACACCATCCACTTCTATAACCTCCAGGAGGGACTGTCCCAGCCACAGATGCTGGTGGTGTCGGACATAGACGGTACGTCTGCCCACAGAAATCAGACTTAAGATTGTATGTGCTTGTTTTTTAGCCATTAATAGTTGGTGGCAGCTGTTTACTATATACACTGAGGATCACGCAATCAGTGTGCTTTGTTAAATTATCAGTGTCATTTTACCATACTGTTCATTTTACACCGACATCAATGTGTTCTACTTGGAAAGAGAATATTTTAACTTTTAGTGTGTATTTCCATCAGAAGTTTTGTCTTAAATTTCATTGATAGTGGTATAAAAAGGTCTTTATAAAGTGTGTCTTGAGAGCTAATTAAATGAGAATCATAACAAACGGTGCTGAGAAAAGATATAAAAGCTTATCGAGTAAATGATAAATGATAATAGTAAAGTAGTCAAAAGGATGGAGTGCTTCTTGGATGCACAAAGGTTTTACATAAGCAGAAAAAATAGAAGTTATAAAAGTTATAGTGAGTACCATTTCAGTACAGCAGAATTCTAACTCAGAATGAAAGTCTTCATATCTACGTTTTTACACCCTGTTGAAACTAGAGAAATTATTATTTTTCTCCCAAATGAATCTCATTTTTTTAGGGAAGATGCTTAATAACTCATGGCACTTTGCACAAACATCAGAACTGGTGATAAATTAGATTTCTTTTTGGTTCTTGTGCTCAGTTTCAAAGAAAAATTCAGTAGTGCCCCTTACTGAATTTCAATGAAGTAGCCCCTGAAGCTGGCTTAACTTAGGTGTACAAAACTTGACGTACAAAAAAGTCTCTTGGCACTATACCCTAAACCCTACAGGAAGTCAGCCATTTTGAATTTATTGTGCAGTTTTTGTGCATTTTTGGCTGTTTCCAGGGGTTGTACTTTAACAAACTCCTCCTAGAAATTTGATCGGATCGTGTTCAGATTTTATCTGTACCATCTAAAAACTTGACATGAAAAGTTGCCAAAAGCTTGAGTTTTCATCGAACCATGTGACCGTGGCGACACATTAAATTTCCATGATTCATCATGAAACAGGAAGTGGTTTGTAACTCCAAGGGACATGGTCCGATCTGCTTCACATGTTTGATGACACTCCCGCCCTGAACACATCTGTATGCTAATGATTAGTTGCAGCATCTGACTTTCACAGAAATGAACAGCCGCGTCCCACCAGGACCTCCGACGTGCACAAATGTGCAAGGGCACAGAGACATGTATCCCTGTCCATTTCCTGTTATTTACTAACATATTGGAATGTAGCCTGGTAATTAACATATAGCTGAGCAAGTTATTCATGTGGGTCATGAAGAGATAGGATGATTTACACTAATTTTTTTTAATTTAGACAAAGGATGAATTACAAATTTTCATGATTTATCCCTCACCTAATGATGTCTGTAATTATTTTAAAGATGTCGTTAATTTAAAGTAAAACCCTATCCACATCTTTACAATAATGTAAAAAAAAATCAGATTCTATAATGCTGCTTGTCTTGTGATAAATTGCCATAAATATTTTTGCTGTGATCCGGACATCTGTTTTTTGTTACTTCCAGACATCTTCATCCCGTCTCATGACAGTCTAATGGTGAACCTGAAGGAAAGCAAAGAGGTACAACCTTTTTTTTATGGAAACATCAACAGCTACAGTAACACCTTTCCTCATTATTATCTCATTATTTCCTCAGTCCCCTCTCTCAGTTTCATTTCTCCCTCCTTCCCTCCTCCAGCTGGTGAAGGACCTGCTGACGTCGCTGCCTGGCATGTTCAGCCAGAGCAGGGAGACCCACAGCGCCCTCGGCCCGGCGTTACAAGCCGCCTTCAAGCTGATGTCGCCCACTGGGGGGCGTGTCTCGGTGTTTCAGACCCAGCTGCCGACGCTGGGTGCCGGTTCACTGCAGTCGAGGGAAGACCCCAACCAGCGCTCCAGCACTAAGGTATGAATGAGAGGGTGTTTATGGTTTTGTAAGCACTTAATCACAGTTTTAATGAATTTCTTTTTTGATGTGGTAAAGTTTGAGTTTCTGTTGCTGCTGCTATTTAGCATGTTTTTAGATTTTTACCTCCATTTTTTTCACCATTTTACCAGCCAACTACATTTTTGGAATATTTCAAGCCAAAAAAGGTCACAGGGTCACTTTCTTAGATCAGTTAAAAGGTTATTCTCTTAAAAATATCAATGATACTGTGAAAAGTAAACAATTCTTTAGTTTTATTTTTTAAATTTGGTAACAGTGTTGACGTGGTGTGCTTGTCCCCACGGTCAGTTTTATAAAACATCAAAAATGACACATTAGAAATGCGAGGAATTTCTCTTTGAGTTGTCATCTTCATGACAGTGATATAACACAGCCTCCTATAACTTCCTGTCACTTGTGGAATTCACCATTATTTTGCAAGGGTTTTAGGTAAGGGTAACGGGGATGAAGTGAATTAAGAGGACATCAATAAATGTGTACGTTGCAAATGATTTCCAGGAAGTTACAGTATGTAATATTTCATAGTAAATTACATTATTACATTATCACCTCACAGGCTTTTACTGAGAGATTTAACCAAATTCAGAATTTATTTGTGAAATTCATGCAGGTAAATATAATTAATAGTAATTTACATAAGTATACTTCAGGCAGGAATAACTACTGTGAGATCACAGTATGTCAGTTTTCAACGATTTACTGTAAAAATGACAGTAATTTACTGTGAGAGTAAAGCAACAAGTAGCCACTAACTTCCTGTAAATGTACAGTCAAACGTTTTACTGTGAACATTTATTTATTAATCCTAGAGGGAAAATTAATCTTTTTCCACTCTGTTGTCAGTGCTCGGGGGTAGAGCAGGTCATCCACTAATCAGAAGATCAGTGGTTCAATCCCCCAAGATAGATACTGAAAGATACTGAACCCCAAATTGCTCCCGATGATGCTTCCATTGGTGTGTGAGTGTGTTAAAAACTGAGCAGCAGGTGGCACCTTGTATGGTAGCTTTGGCCACCAGTGTGTGAATGTGTGTGTGAATGTTGCTCATAGTGTGAAAAAGCGCTTTGAGTGGTCGGATGACTAGAAAGTGATATTTTATTATATTTATTTTTAAATTCAGCATTTAATTGTTTTCATAGAAATCTCAACGCTGATTGTTTGAAGAAGAACAAAAGGCACTGGTTTGATACAATGACCCAGAACACGACCTCTAAATATTGGTGTTTCCTAGTTCCCTGTGATGGAATACAGCAGGAGAGCGGCTCTTCTCAGCCCCCCGCTGTGTGGATTTATACTTATTGTCTTGGCAGTGCTGTGTTGTTTTTATACTCCTGCCACAACTCACTTTGTAGAGCAGGAGCACTCATGATGGATGCTGAGCTAGCCTCTGTGTTTTCGTTCTCCCAAAACTGTGATTTATTGATCTGCATCATCTGTGTTCTATTTTTGATCTAAATAAACTGCCAAGAAGTTTCAGAAGTGGCGTCCAAACATCATGAATTATGCAAACTAAGAACAGATGTGGGACGCTCTCAGGGAAAGTGATTTTTTTTGCTTTGACCTCTCTGTTTTCTGTGCCGTCATGAGGATTCGGGGCTGACAGATAACATGGAAATGAAAGAAAACATAATCTTGACTCAGTCTGCATCCGTTTCATATCAAACATCATTTAGCAGACATGTTAATCAATACAAATATGACACACGTGTATCTAATGTCACAGGAGGCTTTAGGGGAAAACTTCCCAAAGCTGTTGGTGATGATTTCTTCCTCGACAGAGTGGAACAGGAGGATTTCTCTCTGTAATCAGTCTTTATGTTTCCAGGGAGTTCAGCACCTCGGCCCAGCCACAGACTTCTATAAGAAACTTGCACTGGACTGCTCAGGGCAACAAATCGGGGTGGATCTGTTCCTGCTCAGCTCCCAGTACGCTGACCTCGCCTCGCTGGGTAAGAACACACCAACATTTCAGGCTCAACCTCAATCAATTGATCAAACTTATTGATATAGCACCTTTTATACAGGTAAATGCAGTTTTAGTGCTTCAAAGATGATTGACAAGCCGATAACAAGACAGAACAGTTGTAAAGCGTAAAAATAACAAAAAAGTCAAAAACAGTTGAACAATTTAAGGCCAATGCATGAATTGTTGTAATAGTAATGGTAGTAAAACAGTGTGAAATAAAAACTAGATTGTAGAATCAGTAAAAATACATTAAAACGACAAAATAAGAATAAAAATTATGACAATGAAATAAATAAATGAATTAAAATTATTATGAATTATAAGAAATATTAAAAACAATAAAATAGACTTAAAATCTGTAACAATAATTAAAATAAAAAGCCAGACAAAACTAGATAGAATAGGTTTAAAAGACAAATCTAAACAAATTAATAAGAGGTATGAAAAAAAATAGATTAAAAAAATGTGAATAAATATAAATAAGAAATAAATATAAAAGATAAATGATATAAATAACGATAATATAAATAAATTACAATAAGAATAGAACTGTGAATAGAGCCATAAACCTTACCATCCAGCAGCATGAACATGGGCCTTGATCACTCCAACAGTTTCCTGTCAGGTCACCTAATCGTTCATCACTAGGCATGAAAAGAATAGAATAAAATAAAAATCAAATAGAATAAAAAAAGAGTAGAAATTTAGAACATAGATACAAAAAGTGAGTGAATAAAATAACGTGTCTATAAACCATTCTTAGTAAAAGGCCTGGCTGAATAGGTAGGATTTAAGTTTACATTTAAAGATTTCAACACTTGTGCTCTCACATCCTCAGGCAGACTGCAGAATGCATCGTCCAAGTTTATTGCAGCTTCACTTCTCAGAGAACACAGGATAGAAACTTTTCAGAGCCACATTTCAAGTCCACAGAAAGTGAGAATGTCATACTCAGAAATAAATTTACCAGAGAGTATTCCATTTAATCGTAATGCTAACATTAACATGCTAAAATTAACTGAGGATTTTATTTTGGGACTTTTCTTGGAGCATGACAGAACAGCTTGTAGTCCTTGAATATTGAAATATATTTTTCTTCCTCCTCTTCTTCCTCAGCATGTATCTCCAAATATTCAGCGGGCAGCATCTTTTATTACCCCTCCTTCCATTACATCCACAACCCGGCTCAACTGGAGAAGTTCCAGAAAGATCTGGAGCGCTACCTCACCAGGAAGATCGGCTTCGAGGCGGTCATGAGAATACGATGCACTAAAGGTAACTGAGTGCCTGGACTCACGCGCACACACACACACAGAAAGAAGCTCCATTTTCAAGTGTTGTCTCTACATTTTCCGTCCTCTTCCTGCCTTTAGGTTTATCCATCCACACATTCCACGGTAACTTCTTTGTGCGCTCCACCGACCTGCTGTCCCTGGCCAATGTGAACCCAGACTCTGCCTTTGCTGTCCAGATGTCCATTGAAGACTCTCTGGCGGACTCGTCTCTGGCCTGCTTCCAGGCTGCTCTGCTCTACACCTCCAGTAAAGGTACGCACACACATTAAGGCTACCTTTACACTGCATGCATCAGTGCTCAATTCAGATGTTTGGTGAGGTTTTATTTTCTAAATGTGGCCAGTATCAGATCCCATTAGACCAGGAGTTGTGGGATTGTGACGTGACGTATAATTTCATTGGATTAATAAATGTTTTTTACAAATATTTGTATGTTCACACGTGACCCTTGCGATTTCTCATCCCTTTATTCTGACAGGAAAAAGGCGAATCCGGGTGCACACTCTGTGTCTACCGGTGGTCAACCAGCTGAGTGATGTGTACGCTGGAGCTGATGTTCAGGCCATCACGTGTCTGCTAGCTGACATGGGTGAGTGTCGCATAAACCCTTAGCTGTCATATTCTTCTTAAATTCATTACTCTAACTTTTTGTCCATGTGTAAATAAATACTACAGGGATTAATGGAGCATAATGAGAATCGGTAGAGCAGAAAAGTTCTCCTGGCAGATAGAAATGTAACTAAATTTGTAGAAACATAAAATAATTTGTCCTCATGACACAAGTGTTTCACCGCCTTTTCAGAAACACACTAACATGTTGTGCTGTTTGCTGTAAAACTCTATAATCTAATCTTATATTTTTCCATATTTCAGCTATCGACCGGTCGATAACGTCCAACCTGTCAGACGCTCGTGACGCCCTGACGAATGCGGTGGTGGACCTGGTGAGCGCCTACAAGAGCAACGTGTCCAACCTGCAGCAGTCGGGCCTCGTCCTCCCTGCTTCCATGTGCCTCTTCCCCGTTTACATCCTTGCTCTGCTCAAACAGGTGTGGCTGTCAGTACACACACACATTAATTTTTTAGCTTTAGACACACATACGATGAAAAACACCTATAGAGACCCAGATATACAAAACTGTCAGAGGTCGTACAGGAAACACACACACACACACATTCCATAGTAACACCCAGTAATCCGCCCCTCCATCAGTATTACACAACCTTACTCATGATTTTACATCATCACCACCCCTCCCTCTACACACACACACTAATAAATGCAGAGTTTTCAGTCACACAGACTCTCTATATGTTCAGTGACTGTATTCATCCACCCAGGACTTGTTCCTTCATACATCCAGGGTGTGTCCACAGACACTCACACACTCTGCGTCATCTGAGACAAATACCCCCACAGGTCTGACCACACCAGTTTACACCCTAAACATTTAAAACACTGTGTCATGATTAATAACTCAGAGTCATCAGGACTGTTTACTGTCACAGTTTAATCCACCTTCATCAAACTGTAATGATACTCAGTCGGTATTTTGAAGTGCTTGAACAGTCAAATAAAAACTCTCCGAGTAATTCACTTCAGCTGCTGATAGCACCACGAATTGTACATCACTTGCATCTGCTGTTTGCTCTGTTTCAAGATCCAATTCACATAAGGTATTATATACTACTGCTCATGATATTACAGCTCAAACACGCCTATAAGTTTTCCAGTTGTGTGCAATTTTCCCTTTTTTGTCTGATTGCAATTATCCATGTGGCAAAGTATAAATTGCCACCTGAGAATTATAAGGTCCTCTCTGTGTTCTGAGCAGATAAATAGAGCTTTAAAGTTTTTGCGTTTCAAGTAAAACAAACGTTGAAGAAGAGTACACTTGCAAGATAAATGTGACACTTTCTAATGTCACAATGGAGGGACAACTACGCAGGTTGATTTTAGCGCTGCTCATCGTGGACTATATTGCTGTCATTGTTCATTTTAGTCAAACCATACAGTTTGAAAACGAGGCGCGGCTCCAACTAGAAAACAATGTTTTGATGCATTGGATGTGCTGAATGTGCATATTAAGGCAGTACAGGAGGAGGTGCACATTAATAATCCTCCAGGACTGTAACATGCTCATGTTTAACCCAAACAATGTGTCATGTGACTGCAGTTACTTCACATCCAGGTCAGAACACCTTCTCACCACAAATGAACCGCACCAGAGTTCATTTGTAACCGGACCGAGACCTTCTTGAAGAGATGGTCTCGGTCCGGTTACAAACGAATTCTGGTGCAGTTGTGAGTGTGATTGCTGTGTTCACACCTGCTCAAATGAACTGCACTGAAGGGGCAAAGAAATTGAGTTCGAGTGAACCGAACCAGATGTTTAAATCCTTAAGTGACTGATCACAAAATCCATTCAGAGGCAGTAAATGAGAGCTGAGCTTTTATTATGTCCGACAGTCAGAACCTGCAGTATCAGTAACTTATAGTAAACTGTGTCGTTATGCAGCTCCTGAGCATGAAGTGACTGAGAAGCAGCATCAAAAAGCACTTTAAAAAGATTTTCATTTCTTTGCAGAAAGCCTTGCGGACAGGCACCAGCACGCGGCTGGACGAGCGGGTCTTCGCCATGTGTGAGTTCAAGACGCAGCCGCTGCAGCAGCTGATGCGAATGGTTCATCCTGACCTTTACCGGCTGGACAACATGTCTGACCAGGTAGGACGCAGACGTGACTGAGCCAGGTTATTTTTGGGTGACGAGCTAATTTATTATTTAAAAGTGTGGGACAAAAAAAAACTTCTTAACAGTTTTTATCGCCTTTAATAATTAATGAAGATTTATTATTTATATAAATTGAAAACCTGTTTTCTAGTAACAAATTTACCTGTAGACCTTTGGAGCTGTGAGTGTGGAGTATAATAAATCTACTCTATATATAGACAGACTTTATTGTCTTTGTACAGTGAACAATAAAATTAGGAGCACTGCTTCTGATCCACAACAAGAAGCCAACTTGAGCAAACAAACATCCGCAGATGAGAACACTAGAATTTATTTATTGCACTAGAGTTAATGTAATTATTGCACTTGAACTTCCTGCTCTGTACACTCACTGCACTTGGGAACAAACTGGAGTGTCCTCCAACTAATTCATTGCATTATTTGTGGCTCTCCTGCAGGGGGCGCTCCATCTGAACGACACAGTGGTTCCCCAGCCTCATCTGCTCCACCTGTCTGCTGAGAGGGTGAGCAGAGATGGAGCTTTCCTCATGGACTGTGGCAACGTAAGCTCTCACTGTTATTTATTGCTAACACTCGACAGAGCCATAGTTCTTTAAGGGTTTTCCACTGAATGTCAGAGATGATGGTTTTTCTTTGTGTACCATAAATCTGTCTGATTGTTTTGTTTCCTTTAACAAGTGTTGAGAATTGTGCACTCCTGAAAACATTTCAGGAAGGATGTAGAAAGGAAAAGTGATGGCTTGGGGGAGGAGTGGTTTAGCCTTTGTGTGGATATTTATTGTGTCATTACCAACAGCAGCCTTGCATTGAATTTTAATGTCACATGATTTACTTTAAGGGGACTTTCAACCCCGACAGAAGTAATGTACAGAGAAGACACTAAATAATTAATTTTCTGACAAGAAATAATTTAATCTAAAGATACTCAATCTCAGTTATGAACAGTTATATCCCTGGTTGGCAGCTGTAGGTATTAGAAATATTTCAGAAAAAAGAAATGAGGTGTTACTCTGTTTCTTAATGGTCTTGAAAACCCAATATTTAACTTACAAAGAGGGCTACACCCTAACTATATTCATATGAGTGTTCAACTTGTAATAAACAATCCCCAGTGGTTCAGACTACATGATATTTTGATTATAGAGTCATGAAATCTTGCCGTGACTTGGCTGAGACAAATGACAGACTATATGTTGGTCCACGACCACTTGTCAGAGCTTGATGTCTTTCACAATGTCTGATGTCACTGGCAAGGAGGTGCCTGGGACTGACTATCAGGAACAAGAATGCAAACAAACAATAGGGTTGTCTGTGTTTCTGGCTGTGTTGGAGCACCAGCAACATCGTTGTCTGTCTCATCCTTTCTTTCTCACTTTGCCATGTTTACTGTTAAAGAGCGCTTTTCCTTCTTACATCCACGCCTGCCTTTTCTCTCATTGGATCTGTTGCTCATTGTGCGTACCGCTGAGCGTGTAATCTCCAGGATAGAACCAGAGTCTCTGGGTTTTTAAGTTCTAATTCTGCTAAAGCAGGGAGAGCTCCGGGTCGCTGCGACTATGGGCACCGCCATCGTTTCTTATTCAGTCTGTGTCAGATTTTTGCCTAGTCGTGAACTTGTCATGAGGGAACATATTGGTGGACCAAAAAAAATTCTTATATGTTAGACTTTCTGTCAGTAGGGGTGGGAATCAGAGAGTAACTCACGATATGATACTATCAGGATCTGTTGCTTACCGTGATGGTATTAAGATTCTGCGAAACTTCATACATCACAAGAAAACTATCTATGATGCATCACCATGTCTGTGTAACTGAAGGAGAAAAGAATTATGTGTTAATTTCCTACTTTGTGGCGTCAGTTTCACAGAATTTGACAAGTGAGATAAAACAATGTACAAAAAAGTGTGGAATCTTAGCTTAGTGCTTCTGTGACAAACACACACACTGTCTTCATTGTAGGCTGACTTACTGTTGTCATAGTGTTCGTCGTTTTCCCCAAGACGTGATCAGGATGATAAGAATCAGGTGGCTAACCGTGTTCGTTGTATTGCCCGTCTACTTTACTTTGATACTACAGGACTTGCATAGTTTTTATTGATTTTGTCTGTGTTGGTAAAGCCGATGTGGGCGCAGACTTTCAATTTGCTAATTTTTCAACACTGTCCGCCATTTTCCCCGTGTTTACTCTTCACTGCAAGTTAGTTAATTTGCATTCACTTTACTCTCATTTATTAGATAAGCACCATCACGAGAGGTCATGAAGTGAGTTAAATTGTCAGGGGAATCCATTAAGAGCCCATTTTAATAACAATATTGATATCTGGTGCCAGTGTAACAATAACGTGTCACAAAAGAAAGTAATACGATCCATCAATCCAATCAATATTTTGTCCCACTCCTAGTTTTGAGTGAGTTGTTGACTACTATGACACACTACATGGTTTAAAAAACATCTGTTGACACAGCCGGAGCCCACTGTCATTTCCGATCTAAATTGGCACCTTATGATGGCAGGGTGGGGCTATGATCGGGCTGATATTGTGTAGTCTGAACAAGGCATCAAGATGTTTTTCTCAGCCTTTAACTTTTATTTATGCTTACGGGGCCGTACACATGCCCCGTCTTCAACCACCTGGAAAGCGCAAGGTCAGGTGCTGGATGCTACTCTTGTGCCTACTCTGTGCCAACTCCTCAGGGCGCAGAGGTGAGATGCATCTAAGGTTGCAAAGTAACCTTAACAAGCACCGAATCATAGCTTATTTACCTAAAGTCCTGAGTGCAGAGCTGATCTTCTTCAGGCGGCATTTGTTTGTTAGCTTATCGTCCGAGAGACAGATGTAAAGCCCTGCACTAACATGATCAACTTTTATATCTTCTCCATATTTACCACAGACTGATATTTACTGAAGAACGGACAGATGTCTGCCAGCTATGATTACTGCGTTCCAAAAGTTGAACTCTCAGGGTGCAGCTTTCAGGGTCTGTAATCTGTGTATCAGGAGGATCAGATACTCTGTGCTGATGCTGCTCTGTTTCTGTCTGTGCAGGTGTTTTATCTGTGGATCGGCAAATGCTGCAACGAGATGTTCATCCGAGATGTTCTGGGCTGCCCCAACTTCGCTTCAATACCCCCCAACATGGTCAGTAACACTGTAACTGGATACAAGCATTTCAAAATGAGATGTCCATCCTTTTAAAAAGTGGGTGAAAGTTGATGCATTTATACTGAGGAGGAGATTTCACCCACGTCCAACATGTCAGGAAATAACAGAGAATAACTGCGATTGGGGAAATGGTGATATTGTTTTACACACCACCGCCCAGTTACTGCATGAATGATGCAATGCAGCATTGTACATATTTCCCTAATTTGTGAGTCAGAGATTTGTTTCACAGTGAAAGAACGCTGCATTTCTCTCTGTGTTGTAAAAAAAGAAAACAACTCGTGCAGCAAAACAAAATTTGCTGGTGCAGCTACCTAGAAAGCTCTGTCATTACCACAGCATGGGCTCGATGGGGACATCCAGAACAAACAGTATCCGTCAGCACTTGTTTATGCTGCTTATTGTATTTTTCTAGATGGGGGTTGATGCATCCCAGAGCCACCTACCAACCCCACACTGTAAACCACAGGCATATTTCTGTTGACCTTATTGTGTAGCCGAGACGTGAACCTACATTATCTGTTTTTAATCTGAGACACACAGCAGTGAAAACAATGTTGCTGATGTTCTGGTTCTGCTCTCTTTCTCATCTCTATGAATCCCAGAGTCACATTCCTGAGCTGGAGACTCCTCTGTCTGAGAGAGTGCGAGCGTTCCTCGACTGGCTGCAGGACAACAGAGCGTTCAGCTCCATGATACACGTTGTCAAGTAAGCACCACCACACATCTGGATTACCATCTGACTTTAACTAACAGTCACACAGCGTCTACCATCCACATGCTTCATTTAAGAAAGTCTGAGAGGCTGTTTCTCCATTTTTGTTGGTTCTTTAAAGCTCATTTTCAGGTTCATACTTGCATTTTGGGTTTCCACTGGAACATTTAGGAACATTAGGTGGTCATGGGTGTTACAAGGTCAAATCACAGCACATTTTTCAATTACATCCTGGCATACAGTGTCATTTTTCTCAACAGTGGTTATACACAATCCATTTCTCCCAGTATTTTATACATATTTACATCTCAAGCCTCAAAATAAACGTCTTTCCATACATCATGTTTCGTTAATAATCCCCAACTATTGGGTCAATGTTGGAGGATCAACTTGCAACCATTTGCGGGTTATGGCTTTCCTGCTACTTGCCAAAAGTATCTTTAATACATTTTTATCTTTGCGCAGGACAGTTTCAGGTCCACTAGAACATTTTATATGCTTTAATTGTTAAAAAAAACAACAAAAAACAACCTTTATTTTCCTCATACTATCTGTGCTAGAACAATTCACCTTCTGTCTGAAATGTTCGTTTTAGCGCCTATCTCTTTAAGCCACTCTTAAGAGAAAGCCCAGTCTGCTCTGACTGGTCAGTATTTCAGAGTCTTCCACATCCTGGTGTCTCTGCAGCTGGGGAATGAGAATAGCATCACTTTCACACGACTGGACATGTTCCAGCTGGAGTAGGATGCGAAATCGGGGAGAAATTAACAACATCAGCAACCAGGATTTCCCTGATGTTAACATGTGGCTACATGTAGCAGTGGATGTAATGTCACAATCTGACATCATCTCGTGGCCAAAGTAGGAGAACACGTTGGGAACAGAGTGTTAAGAACGGTCTGAAGCCTCAGGTTTTTGCTCACAGTGATCACTTTTACATACATTTACCTCATTATTTGAAACTGTCCACATTTAACACGAATATCTGACATTTTACCATTAAACATATGACAGAAAATAAGGAAAAGCATAACAGGTCCCCTGTAATGTTCAAAATTTGGACATATGTTTTGTAAGTTGACCTCAAATTACTGTAACAGCACACTGAGTTTCACTTCCTCTATCGCGAATGTTACCAACTGCCAAAAACCAGGAGGGTCCAGCATCAGACGACATTGTAGTGTCACAGTTTCGAAGATTGAGCTTCAGTAGAAAGGAGTACAATTAGGATAAAAGCAACTTTGTATTTATTACCTTTAGTTCTTCTGCTGCTGTATTCCCTGTGTGGGATCACTAAAGTTTATCTTCTGGGTAAACACGTGAACAAGGAAATATGAAATACCTTCAGGTTGTTATTTGTTGTTTCTTTTTGGAGCTCCAAAATCACCACACAATGCTCACTTTGTTCTTCACTGCACCCAAAATGAGTCTCAAACCAACTTGTTTTTCAGTGAATCGCTGTCAAGTTACGATGCCAAAATACCTAAATATGAAAAACTGAAAATATATTTTGCAGTGAAAAAATTCAAAAGTGGAGATAAGAGCCATCTGCAGTGGTGTGTCTGGGGCAGGAAGGCCTTAGGGCTCATTTATACTTCTTTTACTTAAGAAAATAGATGCGTCAGTTTCAAATGTTGTAAACATCACTGCCCTCATACTCCCATAATCCTTTATGATGGCGTGGATGCAGCCAATAGGTGGAACTAGACTTATAAAGAAAAAAAAAATCACCATTCTCTGGTTCTAGTTTACAAAATGTGACGATTTGCTGCTGTTCTCTGCCTTACCTCATTGCAAATTTAATATATTTGCATTTTGGACTATTTGTAGAATTGTAACAAGCTAATTTTTACTATTATCTACTCAAGCTAACGTAATAAGCTAATTTCTACTACTACCTACTCAAGCTAATGTAACAAGCTAATTTCTGCTACTACCTACTCAAGCTAATGTAACAAGCGAATTTCTACTATTACCTACTCAAGCTAATGTAACAAGCTAATTTCTGCTACTACCTACTCAAGCTAACGTAATAAGCTAATTTCTGCTACTACCTACTCAAGCTAACGTAATAAGCTAATTTCTGCTACTACCTACTCAAGCTAATGTAACAAGCGAATTTCTACTATTACCTACTCAAGCTAACGTAACAAGCTAATTTCTGCTACTACCTACTCAAGCTAATGTAACGAGCTAATTTCTGCTACTACCTACTCAAGCTAATGTAACGAGCTAATTTCTGCTACTACCTACTCAAGCTAACGTAACGAGCTAATTTCTACTACTACCTATTCGAGCTAACGTAACAAGTTAATTTCTACTACTGCCTATTCAAGCTAACTTAACAAGCAGGATGTCAACTTGACTCAGCAGCAACATCCTTGGCTCTGGGGTAGAGCTGCAACAGGGACATTATATATATTCTTTATGTAACCAGGTAAAAGCCTCATTCCTATTAGAAATCTCTTTTTCAAGAGTGACCTGGCCAAGAGGGCAGCATATACAACTGTCACACACAACAAATGAATAAAAAAACCACAGTATCCGATTAACATGGAATACAAAGTCCGGGACAAGAACAAATATGATGTGGGTACAATTTCTAAAATGCTTTAGGAACAATCACATTAACTAAAAAAGCTAATTTCTCTGTCCTTTAAGATCAACTTTAATTCCCTCACAGTGATCATTGCGTGCAGGGGATGCATTGTTTAATCGGTTAGAGTAAATTTTAAAAGAAAAAATAAGTCAAAATTCTCTGACTCCAGCTTCTTAAATGTGAATATTTTCTGGTTTCTTTACTCCTCTGTGACAGTAAACTGAATATCTTTGGGTCATGGACAAAACAAGACAATTGAGGATGTCATCTTGAGCTTTGGGACATTTTTCATACTTTTCCGACATTTTATTGACCAAACAACTCATCGAGAAAATAATAAATAGATTAATCGACGACTGAAATACTCGTTAGCTGCAGCCCTGCTCTGAGGAAGTGTGACATGTTTCCCTTTTTAAAAAAAAAAATAAAGCGTGAACTATTAATCAGAAACTTGTCAACAGGTTGAGTTTATTTTGAGGAGGGTGGTGACAGGAAATGAGGAAGAGAAAGAGGTATGACATGCAACACAGATTCCTGGAATCAAACTAAAGAAGCTGCAGTTTTACTCGACTTTATGTGGTTTGTATCTACCACCAGGCCACCAAAATTTCCCACAAGATTAACCTGTGTGAAACTAATAATTAGCTGCCTACACTTAGATGTCCAGTTCACATCAGTAGGAAGTGGCTGTCACATAAACGTCACCGACCGTCTGAGTTTGTGATCATCTGTTCAAGACAAAAGCTGACGGCATCATAGTTATTGTTGCTTTCTGAAAAACTTACTCACATTTCCAGTGATCTGCTCTCGACTGGCACGACACAGAAACAGGGTGTGGCTGGTTTTGTGTTTCACTGGAGTCATTTTCAGTCTGATGTTGACAGAAAAATATTTCCAGTGTAAACACATAGTAAGCAGTGAGGTCACTGATTGACAGTGGTGGCGAGGGCTTCCACAGGGAATGCATTGTTTCTGTTTCCTCTCTCGCCTCTTCTGCGGCGCTGCATTGTTGCTCCACCGCATATTTACACCACAATGTCGCGGGGAGGGCGGCTGATGTCAGGACAAATGGGCTGAGGATGTTTGCATCATTCTGACAGATGACAAATGTTGTGTTGAGTTGAATGAGATTTCTTTAGACAGTCGTACGGAGACAAGATGCAGTTACATTATAACTGAAACATGAAGTTTGCCCCCAAAGACAAAGGTTGTTTGAATAGTTAAAAATTAAATAACACGTAAAAGCTGTGACTGAAGCAGTATACTGGTTTTAAGGTATACCGGATATGAGGAGACACGAGGGCGAACATAAGTCTAGCTCAGTAAAGAAGAGCACTGTTGAGGCATGGAAAACAAGTACTGTATTCATATTCTGATGGCAACACTCATTCACAGACATATTAATGCTACACCATCACAGCTCACCTCTGCAAGTTGTTGTCTGTTAACATTGGTCTGTCGCTCAGCGCTACATCACGTTTAGTTTTGATTGGTTGTAGCTCTGTCCAATTGTGTCCAAAGACATTTTGTTCCACGACTGTTGATAACGTCCTTTGGAAACAGAAAATGAACTAAGGTTCAAGACTAAGTCACGTTGTAATTTGGTCTGGTGATGCCAGGCTAGCTCCCTCTGACTCTCTCCTCTTTGTCTTTTTTCTCCTGCAGGGACGATGCTTCGGTTAAAGCTTCTTTCTTCCAGCAGCTGGTGGAGGATCGGTCTGAGTCGGCTTCTTCGTACCACGAGTTCCTGCAGCACATTCAGCAGCAAATGTCCAAGTAGGCTCCCATCAAACCAGAGAGAAACGTTGGCTGCTAGAATCCTGGAACCAGAGCGAGAAAGGATTTCGGTCTCGTAGAGTGAAAACTAGCGTTAGAAACGACGGACACCCATCGCTCCTTCAGACCAGTTTTAGCGAGGTGGGTTTCCTCCCGTTCCTCCAAACAGTCTTATTAAACAAATCCAACCTCCAGGCTCGTCACTCAGCCGGGATTTGATCATCAGAAGGACAGGACGGTTTTAGAAAAGGAATAAAGATTTACAGAGATAAATAAATGAAGAACAGGGATTTGTTCCACTTCAAAATGAATCATTGAACGTGCTCCTCGCTGCCTCTTAACCACTGTCAAACCCCCGTTTAGCCTCTCGTCACACCCTTCGCTCCTGAGAACAGAAGGGGAAAGTCGAGCCAAGAAGATGCCACTTCAACACGTTTTTAGTTCGATTTTGTTTTTGTGAGCCTCACATGTAGCTAGTGCTGTCTTTTTTTTTAATTATTGTTTTATAATTTATTCCCCCCCACACACTCCCTCGGTTTTATTTCAAGACTATTTTGAATACACTGGAGAACAGAAACAAGCATTCCTTCTGTTGTTTTTCGGCATGAAGTACTAAAGGCATGTCACCGTTTTGTTTGCTGCTAGCCTCTGACCGCAGGCGACGACCGTCTGCATAACGGGAATATACTTCGACAGTGGTTGGATGTTGAAAACCCCCCTGTTGGCTCCCTCTTCTCTCCTCCACTGTGTGAACTCCTGATTAGTTGAGATCAAACTTCAAAAACTCCCCCTCCCCCACACTGTCAACAATCTTATTCTAATTTGTTTTATTTTTTCCAGGCGCTAACTGAAGTTGCTATCCACTTTGTAACTATTGAAAAAGAATCTTTTATGTGCGATAATTTATGAACCAGCTTATTAAATAAAGAAGAAAAACAGAACTCTGCTTGTTTCATGTCATGGTGCCATCAGTGACATTAAAAATGACAGGATTTATTATGCTGATTTTTCAACGGTTTCCCAGTGTTCCCACAGTGTGCCGGCACAAACAGCCTTTTATCTTTGAAACAGGATGACATCATGTGACTTTTCAGGACTTTGACTAATTGCTCTCATGTTTCGACATGTTTACATCATCCGTCACTCCCTCTCTTCACATCTCAATAGATCTTATGACATTTTACAGTAGCATAAAACCTCAACTAGGGAGAATATTTGAATTCATAAAAAATTGGTTTATCCACGGATATTTGAATAAAGAAGTGGGTCTGTATTTCTCATTGAAATAACTGAAAACATAGGCCTGCTTGAAGGAAAATGTCACTCCACAAACTGACCTTTCGCTCGGCCCCGCCCCTTTGTGATGGTCCGACAAGCTGTCAGAGTTATATTTTTGGAAAAATGAAAGAGTGATTCCAGAGAGAAGCAGACAGAGGGGTCTACAGTCTGTGTTTGAAGGATATATCCAGGATTTCAAACTGACTCAGCAGCAACAACAGGTTAAAAAGACAAAGATAGTTAGAAGCTAAAGCCGAACTATAGGCTACAGATCACAGTGTAAAAGTGAACCACCACATCACTGCTGATCGCCACACAAGACAATGAATATAAAGGGAAACTTTGCTTGTTCCTGTACAGCAGGGTCAGCCTTTGTTTCACTGTTATAATCATTACAAAGCAAAAGCAGCATGTGTATACATTCAGTAGGCTATATCTTCAGTAGCTAGCTAGCTAGCTAACCCTACACTTTTCAGGGTTTGATTGTGGTTTTGGAACACTGAAGAAACGTATATCTTTTTCCAACCTCTCCAGGTAACACGTATCATTAATACACGACGTGCCCCAGGCACAACATTTAGCTCCAAATCCACAACACCAGCCTGAAAATGAAGGAAATCTGAAACGACTGCATTAGAGTCAATAGAGCACAACTGTGTTGATGTTGGACCCTGGTCTGAGCCAGCCCGATGCTATGTTATGATTGGCCAGTCAGCATCTGGGGGCGGGGCTTAGTGAAGGGTCATTTACTCACTTTGTTATACGCTAAATTCCTGAAGAAAACATTTTCTCACATGCCTCCATAGTAAGCGAAGAATCCAAAAACAAAAAGCATTTAAAAAAACAACATTTTAACGATTTTTTTTTTTTTTTTTTTTACCTTTATTTGACTGCACAGTACTTAAGCATGAAAGGGGGAAAGAGAGGGATGACGTGTAGCAAAGGGCTGCAGGCAAGAATCAAACCTGTGGCCACCACAACACCACCAACAAACTCTCACACAACTCATGCAGTATAATCCAAGTCTCATTTATCCAGTTGTAGTCTCAGTACTTACCGAACAGTCAGGCCTGTGTGACGGGGATCTGAACTGAAGGTGAAACTCATGTTTGGTCTCTTTAACACCAGACTCCATTGACAAAAACAGGCATTTTACCTTGCTGAACAGGACAGGTACGACAGGCCACATTCATTCAGTATCTGCTCAACCTGCAAGAGCCACAGTGACACATATACACCCGGATTATGCACGCTGAGCAAATAGTTGCTCTTTCAGTTTCGCTAGATGCCATTAAATCCTTCACTCCAGACCTTTATGTATTTAAGGTTTTCACCTTATCTTGGTCTTATACTTAAAGTAAGTTAAACCGTCACACAAAAGATTTTATCAAGCAAAGTCAGGACAAAAATTTAAGTTGCCTCTGACTCCGTCTGAACATAAATGCATCCTGAGAAGAGTGTGAGAACCCAATGGATACACTGATCAATGAGCAATTGATTTTACACTACAGTTGATCTGCAGTTTGATCAAGATTTGTCTGACTGTCTAGAGTTGGATCTCTCTACTTTCCACAGCTGTGCTCTTCCAGTCTCTTTGCAAGTAGTGATTGCTGTACGGTTTTATGCTGCGGGATCTTCATTTATTAACTTTCTTTGTAGTTTCCTCCCACATGTTGTTTTCTGCCATGTGCGATATGCTTTCCTTTATTATATTCCTCCCAAAATATCTCCTTTACCTCCTCCGACCAATTTAATTTTCTTGTCTTTTTCCTCTGCCATTTATTGCACTTTATTGCACTGCATCTAAAAGGCAACTTTGTGGGATGCTAACAGGCAACAGAAGCACGAGCACAAGCAAACATCTCCACAAATCTGCGTCAGTGCAATAACCTTCACATTTTTCCTTAACCTTTGGGGCCACCTCTAGCTCTGCAGGTAGAGTGTAGGCTGAGTCCTTTGCGGCGGCCAGGGTTTGACTTCAACTTGCACCCCTTTGCTGTGTGTCATCCCCATTCTTCCTCCTCCTTTCCTGTCTCTCTTCTGCTTTCCTCTAAAAGAGGCAAAAAAAAAAGTTACGGGACTTCTGTGCGACACCGTTAAGTCCCTCAGGCCCTTTGCAACGAGGTAAAACCTTACCAAACCGATACAACTTGATTAAAATCTTCTCGTGACTTAGACAGTAGAGTCACTGCAGCTGAACTCCAAACCGTGGAAGCTACAATCTGTTCAGTACATTCATATCAACAGCCTCCTGCTTTATGTATTTCAGCAGTCAAATGGGAATCACATGTTGAAGCTACAGCCTGTGGAGTGAGATCATATCTTCAGTTAGCAAATCTTTTAGACTCCAGCTACAGTTTGACACTGATATGTTTGATTAATGCTGCAGACAGCTGATATTCAGTGTCAGTGTTCATGCCAACAACTTAATTCCTTTGGATCTCCTCCAATGTTTCATTCTTTAAAGAACGGGAACGTATCCGAAACATCAGTTATACCCCTGAGATCTTGAAAGTACGCATATAAAAACACTTTAGTACACTTAATGGATATAATTAGAAAATCTTTCCCATGCTTCTCCACACTTGCTGTGCGTTTTCTTAAACTTCTCCACAGCAGGAAATGTTAATGCTCCAGTAGTTGTCAGGCTTCACAGGCCTGCAGAGGACCCCAGTCTGAGAGTTAAGTTTGTTGTCTAGTGTTAACTGAGCGGAGCTGCTTAAGAAGGAGCTGTAAAATACTTTGGAGCTAATCGCCTGTAGTAAACACACAAACAGCCAGTGCACTGCTCTCTGCTCCATTTGCAAACATATCTGGCTCCCACATGCTCTGACTGCTGGAAAACCTCAAATATTTGATCCGGTCATGCTCTCGGTGCCAGCTAGGCAGACGGCAGAGAGTTGCACATTCTCATTTTCAGTTTTTAGAAACATAAAAACACGGTGTCAGTGAGTAAAGACGACAAGAGGATCACAGCAGCTGGGGAAAGATGTTGGAAAAGTCATTTAAAGCAGCTCTATTTTACATACTTGTCATGTTTTGCAAATCTAGTTTGACTTGTGATGCCAGATGTTCTGGTACATGTGGACAGACCATAACAAATGAGAGGTTTTCTTTGCATTTCAAATCAACACGTTGAATCAGCGCTCCTTTATGAGCCTCCTTTTTTCACCCAACAAACAACAAGTGAGTGCTGTTCTGCCAGATATATTTAAACTCCAGTTATGACTGGTCCAACCCTTCACACACCCACTCTCAATGTGTCCAACCCCCCCCCTTCACTCCCTCTCCATCCCCCTCCGTCCCCTCCGTCCCCCTGCCACAGCTCCGCTCCAACTTTCCTTCTCACTACAGACCTTCTTTGATAAATTCACGATCATGAAGTCACAGTTTCCCCATCTGGCTGTACATTTATTTTACCTCAAGCATTTTACTCTGCTGTAACTCCCGTAGTAATGATCCTAATGACGAGAAACTAAAATGAGTAGAAGCCACAATGTGAGCAGTAGATTCATACAAACTTTTTTCTTTTTCTTTACCTGATGTGGGGGTTATTTTGGTGATACTTTTAGAGCTTCACATCATGTGCAAAGGGTTGAAATACACCGTGCACTGAAAATATGTACATTAAATTAGCCTTTGGTTGTCTTTTGTCTTGAGCTGACTTGAGGCAAATATATGCTACAGGTGTAGCTGAGATCAAAGTCAGAATAATCTGAGTTTCCCAGTCGATTGTATTAAATCACGGCAACTACCAAACATCATGAACACAGCCATGGCGTGCACTGCCACTGTGATTCTCGTCTATAGGTTTTGAGTTTTTGTGTCTCTTCAGTCTGTTCAGCCACAGTGACTATCAAGCTAATTTTTCCTAACCACTCTTGACAGCCGAGAACACAGAATTCCCCAAAGAGTATTTGTGTCCTATTAAAATATTTTTATTCAGTGGTTCATGTTAATTTTGGCCTCTGCTTTTGTTTTGCTGCAAGTTTAGGGATTTTTGTTATCTCCTGCAAAAGAGACTGTAAGAGACTTTATAAATGACTAAATAAATAATGAATATGAGTATAAACAAAAACAAAAGTAAGATTAACTAGACACAGTGGAATTTATTTATTTAAGCCTATTTTTCATAATTTGTTAAATGAAATATTTTGTAAGACATTGTGAATAATAACAAAACATTAAAATTATTTTTCTACTCTGGCATCAAATATACAATCTGACGCACCAAATGGTTTGTTACACAAAACCAGCTGAAGAGCCGTCATTAGAAACTGTTTGGAAAAGGGCCAGGGGCCGGTGACAAAAAGCATCTTAAGTGAAGATTTTCCTTTAAATCCCAGTTAAGGTTTCCTTTGAATAAAATCAGTTGCACAAAACACCCTTAAATCTTCTCCTTTTAGGCGCTGACACACCAAGCCGATGGTCGGCCGTCAGTTAAAGCCGGGCCGTCAGTGAGCGTCTGTCGCCCGAGTTTTTGCGGTGTGTCCCGCACCGTCGGCGTGTCGGCGTCGGTGGCTTTTCAGCCGATTGAGCATGTTGAATCGGCGGCGGAGCTTGTCGATGAGAGATCACTCTGATTGGCTGTTCAGGTTTTATTTCCTCGCCCCTGTAGCGAGTGAATCTGCCTGTAGTGAAACCGGGGCTAACTAGTGCTTCC